GAAAGCTGGTGAAACTTTTGAAAAGTGCCTAGCAGCCGTAATCCTGTTAAAGTCAGTTAGGTAGTGTTAGGCATTGTTGTACTTTTGGAAGTCACATTAGACAACTGGGCACGTCTTCAGTCGTACAAGTGTATTATCTTGGATGGTCAGAACATACTTAATAATGCAAAAATCTGCCTTATGGGAACGTGTTGATAGTCTTGAAAAATTTGGTATCTTTGAAAATTGTTAGTAGGATCTAGCTGGGCTTAACAGTTGTGATTCTGCACCTGGTGGTTGATGTCTCTCCCACAACTTTGAGAAAATGTGAGGTAAGTAAGGAGTCTTATCGTGGGATGCAGCGCTTGTCCTTGCTGGCTTCTGTTCTCATGCAAGATCAAGCTTATAAGCCTTCTGGCATTTATAGTATTGCAAAGTAGGTATAAAAATAGTGATGCTGTGTGCTTAGGTAAGATGTAATTGGAGTGGCTCAGCCCAGCTGAATTCAACCTGACTGTAGAACCATTAGGTTGTGTTCTCCAGTCAAATCTCTGGCAAGATTGTCAGTTCAGAGTTTCCCCAGATTTGGTGGCAGTGTTTCTAGAGCTGAGCAGGCCCTGAAAATAGTATGGCTGATGTTGATGTGAAGTGTTGCTACTGCAGGTAACTAGGCTGGATCTAAAACCACTCTGACTTTGATGTGGTCTGTGACCTCTGGCCACAGGTACTTGAGTTAATTAGGTCTTTAAAAATCTGTTCCTTTGTCATGCTGTTTATTTTAGATAAGCGGATCTAGATGTGTATTTTTATTAGTTGTAGTAAAATTTCCTGATTGAAATTCAGATTGTCGCATTCAATTTCTAAGTTTAATAGCTAGAATTTTTCAGACTTTTTCTAAGAATTAAGGTAGCCTTGTATTTTGTGCTGAAAATGTGCAGTGTGTTTACTTTTTAATTAAGTATAAACTGCTAAATTGCAAGACTAATTCTTGTTTGTGCACAGTAAGTTTCATAAGAATTATTTTTATTTAAGTTTCATTTATAAAGTAATCTGATCTACATTGTATAGCATTCTTCTAATAGTTGCTTCAGTTATGGTGAGTGAATACAAAATGGTATGCATTTGGGAAAAATGGTGAAAAGTGATAGGACGAGACGAAATGGATTCAAGTTATGTCAGGGGAGGTTTAGATTGAATATTAGGAAACTTGTTTGGACTGAAAGGGTTATTAAACATTGGAATAGGCTGCCCAGGGAGGTGGTGGATTTGCCATCCCTGGAGGTGTTTAAAAAAAGGGTAGATGTGGTACTCAGGGACATTGTTTAGAGATGGTTTTGTCAGGGGTTTTGGATGGTTGGACTTGAGGATCTTAAAGGTCCCTTCCAACCTCAGCAATTCTATGATTCTATATTCTTTTGTTTGAATACTGAACTTTGCAGAATTATTGCATTACATGGATACAAGGATATTATCCAGCCTGTGGTTTCACTGTGATGATGACTTACTTATATTCTAGCATAAACTGGTGTAGGCTCTGTACAGTCTTCAGCTAGCAGTCATTACACAGTAGTGTCCGTCCCCCCCCAAAAAAAACCCCAACCCACTGCAACAAGTCAGCGTCCTAACTTTTTTTTCCTTTTAGATATGTTTTGTTTTTAAAGGAGGAAAAAAGCTTTCACTTTTTTAATACTTTGTTTTTTACCTAATGCAGCAGCTCAGTTTATCTACTCCAGACGAGACAAACCAGCGACATTTGCTGAGCCACTAGAAGAAGAATATGGCTACGAAGGTACAGATGATACTGCCGATTATTTTACATCCAATCATCAGTTGACTGAAGTTGATAGAGGTAATTATAGAAAATAATTATTTCTCAGAACAGTCTCTTTTATGAATTAAGGACTTACTAAAATAGGCTGAAATTAATGTTTGTTACTTGACTGACACTGCTCACAATTTTGTAATCTTGTACAACACCACCCTTCATGAGCGTAGCTTCAGTGTGATCCTGCAAGTTTGTAACTACCTTTTGTATACTATTTGTAACTTGGTTGCATGCATTGAAATATGTTCTTAGTTTCTTATTAGAAATAATGAAATTTGATACGAAATTCAGACATAAGAACAGCTGTACTGGCTCAGGCCAAGCATCCACCTAGCTCAAGGTCTTCACTCTGCAAATGGCTGCTTGGGGAAGAGTATTAGAAACAGTATTTGTAGAATGATCTTTTGCTTGTATTGCATTCTAAAATTACGGCAATTAGCAGTATTTGAGAGGTTTTCGAAGTTGAGCATTTCTTTGAAACAGCAGGCAACGTCTTTAGATACTTGTATCTTCTACAGTCTTTTCTTACTCTGCCTTGAATTCATTAGACTTTGATTTCCATTCAATCCTGCAGCCCTGAATTCCATGTTACAAGCTGAGTTCTGAGCTGAGTGGTTGGGGAAAAAATACTTGCTTTTGTTTTTTAAACCTGATAGCTTAATTACATGCTTTGTGAAAGAGATTCACTAGTCTCTTTCCTAAGTATTAATAGTTAACTTAGTTTTTAATGTTTTGGAAATAATCAGCGTTATTTTAAAAATGTTGATAAGCCCAGAGTAAAGTGTGTTGGTGAATGAATAGACAGTAAAATGCATGAATGAAATTTGGTATTTAAAACAAGTTGCAGAAAGTTCAGAAACAATAGATAGAATAGAGGCAACTTAGATTCCATGTCACGTGAATTGGTAGAAGCTATGCTAATGCATAAACATGTGGGTAAATATGATAAATGGGGTATAATATGCATGTTTTTACAGCAGGAAATAGTGCTGTAGAAGGTAATTTGAAAGAACCACCTTCTATGTGCATACAGGTGATCTAGACAATATCTTCTGGCTTTTCAGAATGCTTTTGACAGACTCAATCAGTTCAGAATTGATATTGGAACAAGAAGGAAAGTAATATTCTGGACTAAAAAAAGATGGAAAAGAAACCTAGAAATAACCATTTCTACTGAGTAGTGGTCCCACAAGACCTGTTATGTTTGGTATAGTGTACGGTGTTGGCTATTAATACAAAATTATTGATTGCAGTCAGTCTGGCTGCAAAAAGTTTGGCAAGATTGTCCTTGCTGAGCGTTGAATAATAAAATGTCAACCAGCACATTGTGCAGGGCTCTGCCAGTACTTGTTTTGCAGAACAAATATCTGGGGAACATTGACTTCCTATTTGGATTACAGGTCGAGGGTGCTGATTTAAGTAACCTTGAGGAAGTTGGAATTCTGTGGCGTTGAATTCCCTTAGTAAAGTTCTTTAAACATCACCTTCTTTTAGGAGGTGTTCAAATAAATAATCTGTAGTTGTCTTCCTGTTGTTCAGTTCCTGTTTTCTAAAATCTGAACTGTCAGAAACTGTGATATTCAGGAAGATTTTCTTCTGTCCTCTTGTGTTTGTATGCCTGATCAGCACACTACTTCCAGCAAGTGGCAGCTTGGTGAATTTTCAGTCTCTTGTTGTGCGGCAAGTCAAGACTGCAAAGACTTGTCTTAGTCAAGGCTTACACTAGTTGCAGAAATATGCTCCAAAGAAAATTGTTTTTATCAGCCAAAAAATGTATTACAGCTTTAGGAAAGGTAAAGATTGCAGGTAGTTTCAAACCTGGTGTGTTGATCCAGACGTTTCAGTTATTAAGGCCCGAGGCCCTCGAAAATGGTGTTTGACTTTGGGTGTTAATTATAGCATCTGTAAACACTTAAAATGTGCTGTTCAATGGGATTTCACATTGACTTACTAAATTACTTTGGATAATTTTAAGGTGATTATTTGTATTTCTTCTCTGGAGTGAAGATAGTTAATTTTACAACACTTTGAGACTTTATACACTAATAAATAGTATTCAGTGATATGTTCCTTATAGCAGTATCTGAAATTAGTCAAATATTCTGCAGGGTTTGAGGGCAAGGTTTATCATGGCAATAAATGAGATCAAAATTAATTTCTAAAGGTTTTATCTCTTACTGTGATATTTTTCTCCTGTTTTTCTTAATCAGATGTGTGGTGCTAGTGATTAGGCCATTTAAGACTGTTTTTTTGTGTAGCTTATAACAGTAATATATCTCTTTTAGCCCGTCTTAATTCATGCCTTGATCAAATGAGAGAAGTTTTGGCAGAGTCTGTACCAGAGCAAACAATGGTGCAAGCAGTACTGGATAGTAAATTTGATGTACAGAAGGCTTTGGATCTTGTGCTTTCACAAGGCAGTAAGCAAAATGTGAAGACCAAGAATGAGGACGCTGTGATTGTAGGAAAGACGACAAAAGGTACACTTCTATTTAATTGCTTACACTCAATTTAATTGTTTACATTCAAGATGATTCATTTCTATGTACAGTTTAATTTTGGCTTTACAAGCTATGAAGATGCTTGTTATTGCATTAGTCATTTATTAGAAAATTAAAAAAGACCAACTTACTCTTCTATTTCTGTGTTCTGAAAACATTTAAAGGAAACAGTAGCTTTTCTTGAGCCAGAAGTCAAAATAAAACCTTAGTGTCAGCTTAAATTCAAACTGTAACCATCTGCAGTTCACAATAAATTTCTGATTTCTAACAAACACATGACTTAACTGAATGAATACATGTCCTAAAAGTTGGACAACATCTTTAAGTTTTATTCACTTCCATTATTTGTTTGGTGAACTGACATCTCCCATGCCCAATACCTCCCTTTTGTAGGTAGCGTCTATACAGTAACTTCCTTATTTTGATTTATGCTGAAGTCTTTGTAATCTTTACTGGCATTCGTTGCTGATCCTTAAAGTTTCTTAGGTATTTCAGTAGATACCCATAATTTAATTGTAGAACATTGCATATCTTTGGACAACACTTAGTAATTAAATGCCTTTTCATGTTTCTTCTTGATTTTTTTTTGTTGCTGCTGTCAACTTTAAAAAAATTGGATATTTCGTTGTGACTGCACTTCCATCTGAAAATTATTGGCTATTGTAAGGTAAGGAGACTTACATTGTTGTCCAGAAATGTGTATTGACACAGACAGTTTCTCTTGTGCTGTAGAAAATGTTGCTGACAACACCAGCAAACCTCGGTTTGGAAACTTGACAGCCAAAAGTGGTTCAGCTTGTTACTCTTCAATTACAAATGACAAAATGCTCCTTAGTGCTGAAAAATCCAGTACACCTTCATCTGAAACGAAAGGATTGAAATCCTCTTCACTTGTTCCGTCATCTTCTTTGTGTGATGATTTGTGTAAAGGATCGTTTTATGAACCTGTGAATAAACAGGCAGAGAATCAACTAACAGAAAGTGCTAATGCAGTAAGTTTGATTCCTGAAAATGAAGACGTTTACTTTAGCATAGGAAGTAACCCATCTGGAAATTCTTCCTTTAAGAAGTTGGAATGCAAGGAAACACAGGACTTGAAATCCTTGCTAATGCAGAATGTGGTTTGTGATTCTCTGAGTCCTGAAGACAGCATTCCTCTTGTGTCCTCAAATACTTCTGATTGTAATAGTAATGCAAATTTTTACAATCCTCCGTGTTTAACAAGTGTTTTAGGAAAATTGGCTCTTGATAACGAAGTCAGTCGTACTGTAAATAGAGAGAATGAACTTCTTGAAAATTTTTCTCCACTCGTGCAAAGTAGAAAACAAGCAAGCCCCTCTTCAGACTTGGCTACTTTGCCAGTGTTAAGGTCTGGAGGTACGTCATTGGCTGACTTACTTCAGGAGCACCAGGAAAGCAGTGCTAGCCCCTGTTATTCTTTGGCTGATCTTTACACACAGTCAACAGCAAGTCTCACTGATACGAACCTGGGAACCTCATCGTTATCACAACTAGTAAGTCAACCCCAAAGTTCAGGTGGGATGCCAGAGCTAACAGGATCTTTGTCTTCTCTTGCGCTCTCTAAAGTTTCTCCACTAAAGGAGGTTGAGAATTTATCTCTCTCGGATTTAATAGCAGAGACCATTGAAATAGATAAAACTCAACAAAGGACGGACTTCCCCATGCTCAATATAACTGAATCGAGGCCCTCTAAAAGAACCAACATTGATTTAAGTGTCCTTGTAAAAAATGCAGATGTATCTGCAGAACAAAATGTGGTAGGACAGTCAAATATCTTAAGTCCTGAAACTAAACTTTCAAAAGAAAAACCAGGAAAATGTTCTGGTTTTGCTAAAACAAATAAAAAACCCAAAAGAGGGCTTACTCCTAAGAGGCAGGATTTATCCCGTTCATGGATGAAGGCACTGCGTGCAAGACCTTCAGCTTTTGCTTTAACCTTGTGTCTCCGTTATCCTCCAAAAGGTTATAAGCGGCACACAGTTGGTATACATAAAGCTTTCCTGTACAGTAGACAAGTACAAGATGTAAAACCCAAGGAAACTGGTCCTGTAATAGCCATAACACCATTTGACTTCAAATCAGCATCTCCTGATGATATTGTGAAAGCTAACCAAAAAAGAGCTTTTACAAGAGAGTAGTGGGAAAAAAATCAGTGTTTATATCTTGGTATATTAAAACCAATTTTAATTATATAGGACCTATTTATAATCCAGAATTGAATTTTTCTATTTTTTTATTGACATATTACAGTTCTCACTGTTTGGTACCAAATTTGTATGGGAACTTTTAAGCTGTTGCACTGAATATCTTTATTTTTGCCTAATTTTCACCGACAATTTAACATTTTTAACTTTTGCAAAATCTTGAGCTCTAGTACCTAGGTATTGCATGTACAAAATTCTATAAACACCACTAGAGTTGTTGAAACATCTCTCTGGGTGTTGAAGCTACAGTTCATTGGGAAGAGCATAATTATTATTTTGTAAAGTAATTTAGTTTTGCTATATGGTGTATAGTTTGGGGAGCAGGAGCTTCAGTTTACATTACGACTGTTTTATTAAATGTTCTTAAAATTAGATTTTCTGATAAGGTATGTTACTAGTCTGCCAGTCTTGTAATTGATGTTTCCAGTCAATGTCATTGTTCTTTTCTATCTTTATACCGATTGCAATAGAAATACATTTAGTATTTGCAACAGAAATACATTTAATTTTCAAAAGCCATACAAACCTCAGGTTTTGACAGTTTTACTTGTGGTAGGATGTGTCTAGTTTTTGATAGGACCAAATTTGTAGGGGAGCAAGCAATTAAAAATGTGTGCCCCCCCTCCAATTAGTTGTCAAAATGTGAATTTTAAAACAGATATTTTGTAGGTATATACATGTTGCATGTATTTCCTGAGAAGTTTTGATAGGATTCTGTGGTTTATTCTCAAGTCTTTCAGAAAAGTATTGGAATAACAATTCTTTAAAATTTAGCATGAAAGTCTTTGCTCAATGGAAAAAAAAAAAATTCAGGCAAAGCATAAGTGATGTTTGTGTTTGCCTCTTGACTGTTTTGAAGAAAGCTTCCTTTAGTAATGGAAACATACTCTCTTCTTCTGTTTGCACCCATTGCTGTTATTTTGAATCTTTAGATGGAAGATCAGAATCAGGACATTCTGGACTTATTTTTTTAGCACCAGATTCTTGTGCTCCTGTTAGTCAAATTAGTAACTGCGTGTATGTTTCAACTTTCCTTTTAGTACACATTACTACTTTTAATATATTTCCAGTGTCAGTGTCAGTATTTTAGATCCTGAACAGCAATAAGTGCAATAAAGATACTGCTGCAACTAGAAAAATATGTTTGTTCATATACTGCCATACACTTGCTCATGCTAATCTCGGCAGCTAGTATGGAACAGTAGATTTTCATCTAGTTTTAATCTAATTTTTGTTGAGCATGTTACATCGAAAAGGAGACAAAAACTTTAGATTTATTCCTGACTTCAGGTCGCACTACAGTTTTGTTTCTAAATAAAAATAAAACATGTTCCAGTGCTCTCAGGTACAAATTTCATGTTCTGTATATTTTGCTTGTTTATCTATTGATGCTGTTGTCATTTAGGACTATGAACAGTGTGACCTCTAATCTTTTAAACAAAATTAATGTTTCTTACCCTTACTAATAAAAGTTTTATATAATGACAGCGCCGCAGTCTTTATGTTCTATTTGACATGTTAATCTAACCTTCTGTGTCCTTACCTATTTTGAGTGCCTTGAAGTACTGAAGTGTAAATAGTACAATCCAGTGTACATAGTATGATCAGATAAGTTCTTGGGCATAATTGATTAATTTCCTCAGAAGACTTCCTGTAGAAGTCTGGCTGATTGTGATTGTATACTGATTGTGTTATTAATTAGTCTTAATAGCAAATTCTTCTTTTTGAACAATATGAAATGTTTTTTAGTGATCATTTTCTCTGTAGTTAGTCCTAATATTAACTTCTCACTGCTTAAAAGTCCAAGTCCCACTGCGGCAAAATGTCGTATTTGGAGAGTTTATAATTAAAGTTCACTTTTTCCAAAATTGTGTATATCCTTCTCGTAGAGAAATTCTTAGTGCGAAGTTTGGCATCGTCATTCTTGCTATATTGTTAGGTGGTTTTGCTTTCTTAGCTTCCAAATACTCTTGAGGCCCTAATTAATGTAGGTAGAGTTTTCTAATACATGCGTGTTTCTTAAAGTTGCGTTTAATACCTTCATTTATCCCTCTAAATCCTTTCTCTTATTCTTGTTGAACTTCTCGTTGGTTTTGGTCTGTTTCCTTGTTCCCATGGCTGCTGCTCTTTGCCTAAAACTTAGCATTTTTAATAATTTTAGAGCCTGAACTGGACATACACCTAAATGTATGTCTTATGGATTCCATTGGAAAGTACGTACAAGTAGTAGGTGGCAACATGGAAGTACTTGGAGCTCGGTTTTGCCATAGATTTCATGCAGATAAAGGCCAAACAAGTGACTGAAGGCAAAGGACATCATCATTATGTGTTTATTGTGGATCTCACTGTGGGATTGGTACCTTAGTAAACAACTTTGGATCTTGTTGGGTAGCTAGATTTTCATACATAATTACTTTTTCATTAGCATTTGTCTCAGTGTGATCTGGAAGAAGCAATACATGCTGTTCAGCGTACAGGGAGCAGGGGAGGGTTTTTTTCCTTCATTTTGCAATCCTGAATCCTGAAGTGAGCCTTGAATTAGTACAAGCTTGCAGGCTGAACACGGCAGAGCTGCCTAAGTGGTGGATAGACCTGAATTCCAATTAATTTTCAGCAGAGATAATTTATTTCCATGCTTGGAAAATTTTAGAGGTTTGTTTTTATAAACAAAAGATAATGTGTTGCTATATTTGCTTTTTAAATGAAACAGGCATTTTAATAGTTTCCTTAACTATTCCTTAATTTCCTTACTGACAACTGGGTTTGTGCCATTAGTGACAGGTTTAATTGTCTTGAAATGCTGCATGATATTCGGTATATGGTATTTTTGTACAAGAAGTCTGTGTTTGGCCTTTGCCATTAAGTATTTCTGCCTAATGAATGTTAGAATTCTTGTTGACTAAATCTGTCTATTTTATGCTTAACACAGTGAGCTTACTTTATTGATGTATGTATAAAACTTCTCTCCCCAACCAGGTTTTGCAGCTAGTGTGTATCTTTGTCTAATACGGGTAATTGTTTTATTTGTTTTGGAATTCGTATATTAACATTGCAAAGTACTTGTGTCTGTGTTTGCATATGGACATAAAAAGACAATATTAAACCACATAGACGTACCACTGGTATTCAGACTGTATACTCCTAAAGGTATTTTGTACATTAAGTTTATTTTGTACATACTTTTTAAGTGGCTGCTGAATAATTTCGATATAAAATTGCCTTGTGGACATTGCTTTACGTACCTAAATAAAATGCATATTCTTAAAGGACTGACTTAATTACAATTTCTTGTTAACTTACTTGATAGAAATAGAGTTGTGATTGAATGTTCTATAATGATTCTGTCTATTGTGGAAACAGGCTCCAGTTCTTGTCTAGGTTTGTATGGGCATACTGCTTTCCATGAAAGATTCCTTTGGAGAAAGTAAGGCAAGAACTGGCGTCTAATAGTGTGTCTTCACATACCATATTGAGGCTCCAGTTTGCTTTTGGTTAGAAATGGGTTTGTAAAGTTTTGGGGTTTTTTTTAGATCATTTTTGTAGCATTTTTAAACCTTGTTTGGATCTTGAAAAGGAAAAGATAATCAGTGAGATAAGAAAAAAAGCAACTGTCTAAAGTTAGTTTTCAGTCTCTTCCTTACAGTAGAAATGAGAGCTACAGTAGTTGATTTCTTAAAATCAACATTCTTAACGTGGCTCTAAATACCTGTTCCATCTTTCTTTTTTAGGCTTCCTTTTTCTAGCTCTTTTCTATCTGAACTTGTTTTGGGAAACCAGGGCAAATTGAAAGTCAAAGTATGAGAAGGGTAGGAAAATGACAACACCCATTGGGATATCAAAAAGGATTGATGCTTTGTACCCTTTGGGATGTGATTTAACATAATAATATTTAGCTGTATTTTAATTACAACAAAAAACACTTTTGAGAAAAGTGTAGAATGTTAGGAAGATAAGCTTCAGATTTAAAGAAAACCCATGTGGTTAAAACTTCACATACCTGGTTTTTACTTTTTATTCAGAAATAACTATATGAGTAATTTCTCATTGAATTGTTAAGGTATTTCTCAGGATCTTAAGGTTCAGAGGCAGCAAGCTACTTGCATTTCTGGAACTGTTGCACAATAATATTTCAAAATCTTATTTCTAAGAGACTAGGTGGTGCAGTGAGGTAATCTTTACAATTTTGTGTTTTGCCTTATTTCCTCTAATCATGTTCAAATACATTTTTCAGTAATCAACAATTTCTGAAAATCTATACTTATGCAAAAAGTTAAAGAGCAACTACCATTGCAAAAATGAATAGCTATACAAAGTATTTGTATGAAGATATGATATAGGTTGTCTTTATGAAATGTACGTAATTTATTGCAGTACCTTTGTACAAGGGAAGTAGTATAGGGTTATAAACATAATTATTTACATCTCTTTCAAATCTAAAGTGCTCAGCTTTTTGAAGTTTTTAAAGCATTTTTGTATTAAATGTTGATTATGAATTGTGGTTGGGTGGAAAAAAAAAACAAAGCAAAAATTTCATCACATTGTAATTCATGCAGTAAAAATAAACTTCCTAAAGTTCTGAAAAGGGATGCTTCTCTGAATTTTTGGCTCTTTGGAAATGGAGTTGAATTTTTATGGATAACTTAAATCCTTTTTTGGTTTGTGTGAAGTGTAGACAGCTGATAAACTCTTCAGTAGTTCTTATGTTCAATTCACTATGTCTAAACTGCTATTTAGATGATGAGGAAGTGTCATTAGTCCAAGTTATCTGTACTTCTGTGTGTGCTAATGGTTTTGACCCTAGAGGATTTTCTGTGGGGAAATAAGCGAAACTTCTTTTGTTAAACTGGTGTGTTTAATCTACACTAGAAAACAATGTGATGAAACAAAAATCAAAGCCAATGGTGCTTTATTTATTTATTTATTTCTTGAAGCAA